TAAAACTCAAAGATGGGCAGCCACCTCTTCCTTTTTTCTTTTCTTTTCTTTTCCTTTTTTTTTTTTTTTAAATGACTCCTCCTTCTTATCCTTCTCCTCATTCTCCCCCCACAACCACCGGGATTTTCCCCACTCGCGCGGAGTGGCAGCCGAAGCGGGGCGGGTGGAATAAAAAACCGAAACCGAAACCAAAAAAAAAAAAAAAAACCAAAAAAAATTTGCGCCTGCGCTGCCCCTTTCCAAAACGCCGTTTTACAAAAAAAAAAAAAAAAAGAGAACAACAACAAACAACGGCAAACCAAACAAAAATTACCCAAAAACGAAATCCACAATATATATATATATATATAAACAAAAGGGGGGTTTTCTCCTCTTCTTCCTTTCTTCTCCGCTTCCTCGTTTATTTATCCTCATCTGGTGGCATTATTTATATATAAATATATAAATATGTAACGTCATGTCATGTCATGTATATTCCCTTTTCCGCGATTTTCCAAACCAGCATATATATGTATATATATGTATGTAACGAAAAGCAGCAAAAAGCAGTGCAAGTGACAATAATAAGAAAAAAAAAAAAAGAGAACAAAAACAAAACACACACACAAAAAAAGAACATGTTGCATTTACTCCGTCCATCTCTTTACCCTTCGGCGCAAACACACAGAAAGAACCACCCAAGCAAAACCAAAAACACATACAGACATATGACTTGCTTAAGACATGGTGGTGTGATTGAGATTAGGAGGGGGAGGAAGGCCGGTTTTTTCTTTTTTTTTTTTTTCTTTCTTTCTTCTTTCCACTCCCTTTCGCCTATTATTTACAACGTCATCCGGAGAGAGAGGGAGAAAAAGAGGGAGAAAGAGGGAGAGGTGTGTGTGTGTGTGGAAGAAAAAACAAACAAGCAAACAAACAAAAAGATAAATATGTATGTACGTATGTATAATGTATACATACAGCCCAAATCATGTGAATAAGTGGCGTTTTTAGTGGGCAAAACAACACATTGGCCTTGTGATTACATGACTCAACTTCATACCATTTTCTTTTTTTTTCTTCTTCCTCTTGTGCGTGTTTGCTTGTATGTTTCTTTATTTGCACTTACTTCTTTAGATCATATATATGTATATGTATATGTATATGTATATGTATATACACATGTAAGGGGTAATACGCAAAGGAAAAAAGAAGAAGGAAAAGACATTTTTTTTTTTCTTCTTTCGTTTTATTCTTCTTATTTCGTTTTCCTTTGGATCATATAGAAAGGGAGAGGCAAGAGGCAAGAGGGGAGGGAGAGGCAAGAGTAATGTTGCACCACACCCACACCCTCAAACAACCCAAACAAAACAGCAAACAAACACACACACAAAAAAAAAAAAAACAAAAGAAAAGAAAACAACAACAAAAAACATAAATATGAATACAAACAAAAAACACATGCGGAAAATAAAATTTTTTTTTTCTTTTCTTTTTTTTTTTTTGTTTTAAGGAAAAATTTATATATAAATAAATATAAATATATAAAAATGTTTTTTCTTTCTTTCTTTCTTTCTTTCCCTCCCCCCCACCACCTCTTTTTTTTTTTTTTTTTTTTAAGGCGTTCTCTTTTGCTCCTCCCTTCCCCCTCTTTCTACTCCTCCCATCACCTCCGTTTCTTTTCTTTTATTCCTTCTTTTTTTAATGTCCAAATTTCTTCTCCGAGGCGACCCCCCCCCCAATTAATTACAAAAAAAAAAAAAAAAAAAAAAAAAAAAGAATCCGGCCTGCCAGACGACCAGAACGACTGACGAACAGCCAGACAGGCAGGCAGGCAGGCGGAAACACACACGCACACACACACACACACATGATACATGCACCGACACAAAAGTCAAGAAACAAAACTACAGCAGGATGATAAAACAAAACCATCAGGAAAAAGAAAAGGAACACACACACACAAAAACAAAACAGCAAAAACAAAAAACAAAACGGAAAGGGCAAGAAAAAAAACCAAAAAAAGAAAAAGAAAGAGCAAAAATCACAAGCAAAAAAAAAAAAGAAAGAAAGAAGGAAAGAAAAAAGGAATGGAGTGCTGAAGGAAGAGAAACACGTCTCTCCTCAGTCCCTGTTCTTCAAGTGTTCCAGTAATTAATTGGTGTCACGGGTACGGAATTCAATACCCCAATGTTTCCATCCGGCAGCAGAACATAATTCCCTATTGGCTGCACGGATCGTGACTGTAACCCCATTGGTCCGTTAAGAACACCGGTAAAAGTTGCCCCAGTCGGGACAAAAGGAGTTGAAGGAATGGATGGAAAAAGAGTCGATGTAGCTCCGTTTTCGGTGGTAATATTTCCAGCATTTCCACTGACACCATCATTTTTGCTGCTTTCCATGGTGGTCAAGTTGGGGCTTGTGGTAGTAGTTGTGGTACTGGCACCTGAGTTCAGGGGTACGATATTCTGCTGCGGTACTGCAGGGCCTGACGGTGTGAGAACAACATACGGTATTCCAAATGATTGCATTGGGAGAGGTGCCGGTTTGGGTGGCTCTGAATAAAGAGGAATAAAAGTTGGACCTACAGACGCTGAGCTTGCGGGAAGAGAAAAGGAGCTTGAGGCAGGATTAAGCGACTGCGGAAGCATCATAACAGAGGAATTTTGTGGGGCCGTAATAGAAACGTTTCCATGGGGCAGCACAGTGGCAGGCAAGCTTACAGGACAGATTGTCGATGGCCCCGAGGGTAAAAATGGCGAAGGCATCATGGAGTTGACAGCTTCCTCATACTCGGGTGGCGGTCGTGTGGCGTGCGGTTGCGATGCCCCACCCACACGTACTCGGCTGACTGGGGGAATATCGTCTCTTTTTTTATGCTCCTCAGCGATATTCAATAACGGGTCCAATGTCTGATTGGATCTGTTGCCTTCAGCACCACTGGTCGTCCCATTTTTTTTATCCCGCTTCACCTTTACAGTCGTGAGAAACGGACCGCAGAGAGGGGAGTCAAAGATCCGGTATATTTTTCCATCATGGCTGCATTCTTGCTCTGCACTCCAGACGCTCAGGTCTTCCGTTGGGGTTTCACGGGCTCGAACCACTTCACTTAGCAAAGTCTCAAGGTGTTTTTTCACCCGCGATGTAATTTCCACACCACCCACAAACATGTTTACATCGGGGCTTGTCTCCAACCAGTTGGCTATCATTTTTTCCTTCTTGTGCGTCGCCGTGTCGTCCATGCCGTACTGTTCCCACATCCCGCGTACCGCGGAGGGGTTGACGGAGGAACACGCCCAAAAAATAAATCGCAACAAAAGAGACCCCGGCATTTCCATGACAAGACCACTTTCTCCACTTTCCGGTACCTCATAGAAGCGGAAGCTTGGGGCATCATTGTGCTCCTGCACATTGCCCACGCTCCAAGACCAGGCGGCGGTGTCGTACAGGAATTTCAGCACCGGGTAGCTATTCCAAAACGTGCTGCTGACGAGAGGCAAACGGGAAATACGGCGTAAAAACATCTCCCTCGCATTCGCTTCCCTGTTAACTGTCGTAACCGCTCGAAAAAATTCCTCCTTGAGTGCCATCGCGGCAAGCGTAACCACTCTCTCCAATGTACGATCTCCCGCAGCCTTTAAAATGGCTTTTTGTAGGTAAAGACACGGTTCGTCGTCCTTTTTATCTTCGTACCGGTGACAGCCAAACTGCCCAATAACATTTATGCGCCGACCATAGAATAAGAAACAGTCTGTCCCCTCTCGACCATTCACATAGACAAAACAAACAGCACAAGGCACAGGACGCAGTGGGGCATCCTCATCTTCGACCATTTCCTTTAAAGAATCATAAAGAGTTTCCTCAATAACATCAAGAAATGTGTCAAGATCCTTCTCTGTATACGACGCTGGTGGTAGTTCCTTCATGCTATACTTTGGACTACGCATGAAATTGTAGCGCACACTTGGATCATTACGCATACGAACAAACTGCTTCCGCAATTCCTTGTTTTCATTGCAAAAGTAACGACGAAGTAAAGGAATCAGTGCGATTTCATGCGACCCATAACGAAGAGAGAAAAAGGTCGGATACGCATCGCGAGAGGGAACCCCGCCCATGCTGATAATAACACTGGTGGATGCTTCCTCGTCTTTGCACCTTTCCTTTTTTTTTTTGTCTCGTCTCCCTTTTTCCCCTTTTGACTGCAGGAAAAAAAAAAAAAAGAATAGTCTACGCTTTACCTGTCCCTGCCAAAAGATTAAAAAAAAAAAGAAAAGGCAAAAGAAGGCGAGAAAGAGAGGGAGGGAGGGAGGGAGGGGAAGTGTGCGAGACACAACAAGTGGAACCATCGCATCAATCATACATGCATAAAAGGACTGAGAGGAGGAGAAGGCGACATGTAATGTAACGGAGGTAAACATACAGCGAGAGAGAAAAGAAAAGAAAAAACAAAAACAACAACAAACAAACAAAAACAAAAACAAAAAAAAAGAAAGGAATAAAAAAGAAATCCATAAAAAATGGTCGTCACATTCGCCAAAAAGGAGTACAAACAAACAAACAAACAAACAACAACAAATAAATAAATAAATAAATAAGTAAATAAAAGAGAGATACGGCAGAGAAAGCAAAGGCAAATGCATATATATATATATAGATAGGTATATATATATATATATATAAATGGATGCAGACATCCAGCACAAAGCACCACCAAACAAACAAACAACAAAAACAAAAAGAACATATGGAAGGGGGAAGATAAAATTCGGTCCCACCCGTACAAATAGCCGCACACTCCATTTATTGTAATTAATAATAACAAGAAAATATGAAAGGGGTTAGGGGAGGGAAGGAAGGAAGGAAGGAGGGGAAAGTGGGTTTATAAAAGAAGAGCAGGTTGTGGCAGAGAGAGCATACAAAAAAAAAAAAAGAAAAAAAAAGAAGAAAAAGAAAAAAGAGGAGGAGGAAAGGGAGACGGGGTCCATTTGCCACTTACACCGCCTTCCTCCTGCCTTCACCGCAGTCGTCATCTTCCCGTTGTTGTTGTCGTTTTTACCCACTCAATGGATACATGTATGTATATATACATAGATATACATACATGCCGCTGCCTCCCTCTTCCCCAAACTTTCTCCACCCAACACAAAGTACTCAAGGCGCTCTCAAAAATGAGTCGTAAAAGAGAGAGAGAGAGAGAGTAAACCAATCATTAATTAATTCATTAAATAATAACATATAAAATAAACAAAAAAACTAACAAAAATCAACCCATTCAATTTCATTTCCCCCAAAATTCCCTCCTGTGCCCCCTTTCTCTCTTTCGGTGTGTGTGTGTGTGTGTGTGGACGAGATGAGGAGTGAAGAAGGAGGGGAATGAAGCAGGCATGGCGGTGGCGACACAAAATGTTGATCAAAAGCAAACAAACAAACGAACGAAGATCACCACAAATAAAAACACCCTTCTTTTTTTTTTTTTTTTTTCCCATTACTATTATTACTATTATTATTATTCCTTCTTGTGTTTGCATGTGTTTTCTTTTTTTTTTGTTTTTTTTTTTTTGCATAAAAAACAAAAACAAAAACAAAAACAAAATGTAAATTCGTCTTTTCTCCCTCTCCCTCCCTCTCTCTGCCTCCTTCCCCTTCTCTCTCTCTCTCTCTCTCACTCTATGTTTATATACATGTAACATTATATTATATTATTTTATATTATTGTTGTAGGCGCTGTGGCTTATGGAAGCCCGTTTCACCCACCCCCTAATCCCTCCCTTCTCCCCCCCCCCCCTTTTTTTTATTATTTTTCCCTCCTTTTTTTTAATTTTTATTTTCTTTTAATTTTGTTTTTATTTTCGTCTTCATTTCTTTTCCTTCTGAAATTTTTTTTTATTTTTTTTTTTAATTAATTAATTTATTTTTATTATATTTTAATGGCGATGCAAAAATGTCTCCGTGCACTTCAAAGACTTTTTTTTTCTTTTTATTTATTTATTTATTTTTTTCTTTCCGTTTTTCGTTTCGGTTCATTTTTTTTTTTTTTTTTTTTTGTTTCCTCCGTTTTGAGTCCATTCCTCCTTCCGCAAGCAAATTTCACCCAAATCCGCACATACACGAAAGAAAACAAAAAAAACTCCACACGCCACCGCTCTAAAAATGCATGAAACAGGCACCCGTGCAACTACACCCTCTTGAGTTGCATACACATAAATATAAATATAAATGTGGATATATGTAGGGGCACGTTTCTCTCTCTCTCTCTCTCTGTGTGTGTGTGTGTGTG